CCCATCGGGCCTGAAAATCGAGCCCGACTGATCTGGGAGAATGTGTTGTTTTTTTTGCGTTCCGAAATCGCTTTCGGAGGGTCGGCGGCAGCGAAAACCAATCGGGCCTGAAAATCGTGCCCGAAGGATTTGGGGGGATCTCATCCTTCCGAGGGTGGGCGGCAGCGAACACTCATCGGGCCCGAAAATCGAGCCCGAAAGATCTGGGGAGATCGCATGCTTTCCCGTGCTCGGAATTTGTTCCCTCCTCCCTCCTTTTTTCCAAGGTACTCATCGTACCAACCATACCATACATACCATGCAATACCATACCACACCAAACCTACCCATCCATACCATACCTTACCATATCATGCCACACCATACCTACCATACAAAATCCCATCATCCCACCGTGCCATACCATATCTTATCATACACTTACATACCGCCTGAGCGAGAACAGACGGTGGCTAGGGGGTGAGACGGCGGTGGATGGGGGGTGGGACGACGGTGGGGCGAAGGTGGTTGGACGGTGAGACGACGGTGGTTGGGTGAGTGAGACGATGAGACGACGGTGGGGCGACGGGGGTTGAGGGTGGCGGCGACGGCGACGGCGACGGCAGCGAAAACCCATCGGGCCTGAAAATCGAGCCCGAATGCATTGGGGGAGTTTCAAGCTTTCACGTGCCCAGAATTCGGTTTCGGAGGGTTGGCAGCAGCGAACACCCATGGGGCCTGAAAATCGAGCCCGACTGATCTGGGAGAATGTGTTGTTTTTGTTGCGTTCCGAAATCGTTTTCGGAGGGTCGGCGGCAGCGAAAACCAATCGGGCCTGAAAATCGAGCCCGAAGGATTTGGGGGGATCTCATCCTTCCGGGGGTGGGCGGCAGCGAACACGCATCGGGCCCGAAAATCGAGCCCGAAAGATCTGGGGAAATCGCATGCTTTCCCGTGCTCGGAATGTGTTCCCTCCTCCCTCCTTCTTTTTTTCCAAGGTGTTCATCGTACCAACCATACCGTACATACCATGCAATACCATACCACACCATCCCTACCCATCCATACCATACCTTACCATATCGTGCCATACCACACCTACCATACAAAATCCCATCATCCCACCGTGCCATGCCATATCCTATCATACACTTACACGCCGCCTGAGCGAGAACAGACGGTGGCTAGGGGGTGAGACGGCGGTGGATGGGGGGTGGGACGACGGTGGGGCGAATGTGGTTGGACGGTGAGACGACGGTGGTTGGGTGAGTGAGACGATGAGACGACGGTGGGGCGACGGGGGTTGAGGGTGGCGGCGACGGCGACGGCGACGGCAGCGAACACCCATCGGGCCTGAAAATCGAGCCCGAATGCATTGGGGGAGTTTCAAGCTTTCACGTGCCCAGAATTCGGTTTCGGAGGGTGGGCAGGAGCGAAAACCCATCGGGCCTGAAAATCGAGCCCGACTGATCTGGGAGAATTTGTTGTGTTTTTGCGTTCCGAATTCGCTTTCGGAGGGTCGGCGGCAGCGAAAACCAATCGGGCCTGAAAACCGAGCCCGACGGATTTGGGGGGATCTCATCCTTCCGAGGGTGGGCGGCAGCGAACACTCATCGGGCCCGAAAATCGAGCCCGAAAGATCTGGGGACATCGCATGCTGTCCCGTGCTCGGAATGTGTTCCCCCCCTCTTTTTGTTCCAAGGTATTCATCATACCAACCATGCCATACATACCATGCAATACCATACCACACCGCACCTACCCATGCATACCATACCTTACCATATCATGACATACCATACCTACCACACAAAACCTGACCATCCCACCGTACCATGCTTTATCCTACCATACACTTACATACCGCCTGAGCGAGAACAGCATCGGAAACCCATACTATTTACATGGGTTCGTGCCCCTCCCACCCCTTCCAGGGAGGCCCCCGCCTCGGCGAGAACAGTATCGGACACCCATGCTATTTACATGGTTCCGTGCACCGCCCATACCGGACACCTATACTATTTACATGGTGTCGTGCGCTTCCCGTCCTTCCAAGGAGGCCACGCCAGAGCAAGGACAACATCGGAAACCAATGCTATTGACACTGTTTCGTGCCATTCCCACCCCTCCAGGGAGGCCCCGCCTCGGCGAGGACAGTATCGGACACCCATGCTATTTACATGGTTTCGTGCACCGCCCATATCGGACACCTATACTGTTTATATGGTTTCGTGCGTTTCCCCATATCGGACACCTATACTGTTTACACTACTACTACGAAGCCGCCCAGCCTCATCGGACTGGTGGCCTGTCTGGTCCCGTGGCGGCTGTGGCGACTGCTGCTGCTGCGAGGTCTCTTGTCCCTCCCAGCGCGCAGCGCGGCACGGCCCGTGGTGCTGACCCACGGTGTACCAAAGCGTCCTGCAGCAGTGCCAGGCTTCCTGGAAGCGTCTTGAGCCGTTCGCATCCCGCCGCGTGAGCTGCGCCCTGAGCCTTCCGCATCTCCTTGCGTGGCATCAGT